TGAATGAATCCACTTTTCTACTTTCTAATTGGCCTACCCATTTAACACTCTCTTAATTGGGTTGCAATTTCTTAGCTACAAAGTGAATATATATACTTTATTATTATGAGACAAAAATTGAATAAAAAATTCACATATTGATTATTATTTTCTTTTCTAAATTATTCACTATTGTTTAGATTTGGATAATTTAGTTCAGCAATTTAATATTCACATACTTTATATGTATATTTTTATTTATCAATTACTATGCCCATTTTTAAATACATATAGCCCAAAAAATAAATAAATAAATAAAACCATGCATGGAATGAAAATGCCATAATTAATTAATCTTTATTTGTAACATATAAATAAAAAAATATAGATTATGTGTTAAACGAGTCGATAGGAATTTGAGTCTACTAAGTTCAATCTCAAATCTTTATTTAGCAAAGCCGAATTGAAGTTTATGATAATCAAAGCTCAGGCTCGAGCCGAGTCAAGCTCGCGTCATGGACTAAACGAGCTTCAGTATGACTCGTTCAATAATAATCAAAAGAGTCGAACTTAAATCTTAACAAGCTAAATAAAAATATATAAAAAAAAAAATACGTCATAAACTCTATTTTTGAATCTTAATGAAATAGTCGAATTTTATAAACGATTTGTTTCGTTTAATAATGAGTGGACATATACATTTATAAGATGACTAAAACTATTCTAGCTGCGAAAACGAGTATTAGCCTAAATAAAATAATTTAAATGAGCATTTAGCCAAATCCATAGTGATTTGGTCAAAATCGACACAAATATAAAATAAAATTTGATAAAGTATTTTAACAATATTCGGCTCTTGAAGGGTGGATATGGTCTCGGCCAGTAAAAAGTTAAAAACTAACATCAGTTTCAACGATTACGTTAGAGTAGAGATAAAATTGCTCTCTAACGTTGTGCTATATCTCTGCACCACTCTAGAGTTATGAAGAATATCGCACTACATCTGACGAGTAATACTCATTACTCTATAATATTTTTTTTTTATTATACGCAATTGATTTATCTTAAAATTTATTATTTGACAAAGTTTTTACCATTAAATTTATAATTTAATTTGAGAATTATATAAAAATATGTTATAAAAATATATATTCTTATATTGAATTACTATAAAATAAACAAATAATATATAAAAATAATAATTCTTTGAAGAACAATATTTAAAACCAGTGGAAGACCAACTAACATCGTGATATATTTTATTTTATAAAATATTATGTCCAACTAAATAATATTTTGACATGTTAAATAAATTAAAATAATATGACTAATAGATGTGGAGTATAATGTAGGGCGAACGGTTGGACGCCGAATTTGATTTTTGGTTAATTCTACTATAGTGTAGAGTAAACTCTGCACTATAATAGATATAAAGACTGGAGATGGTCTAAGGGTGACAAATGTGTTGCGTGTACGTAGTTTTTGTTGTATTATCTATTTTATTAGAATATTCACTTGTGAATTGTCCCACATCGTTTATATAGGAAACATAAGCCTAATTTATAAGTTTAATGGGCTACTCCTCCTATCACCAATTGTTTTGGGATGTAACATAACTTGGGCTTCATTTGAGTTTTCTCTCTCATGGTGCGATTCACGTGCGCAGGACTGCGCCCGTTTTGCCCTCTTTTCTTACTCGTTTATGGGAGTCTGTTGCTAGTAGGGCTTGGGCACTCAGCTCTATATATGGGCTTAGGCTTTGTTACTACTTCACGTGCGTGGGACCGCTCCTGTTTTGTCTCGATTCTTACATATTTTATTTTATAATAAATATGATATTAAAAGTAAAGTAGTAAACTATTTCTTTTATCTAGTATTTTTTATATTTTGTTTCATGTCGTGTTGTATTATATCGCGTGCTCATTCTATAATACTTTCCTATAATCGTATTTTATAATTTAATCATATTTTGTTGATGCTTAGTGTGTAATACTAATTATTGCCACCACTAGTGAAAATTCAATTTAAATTAAATGTTAGTAATTTGTACA